TTTTTTTTTTTTTTTTTTTTGTCTAAATCGAGTCTTTAAAAACGAATTTAAAGAAAAGAAAAACGTAAAATCAAAGGATAAATACATGCCATTGTTTCGGTGAATTTCGGGACTTACTTCTGCTTCTAACGGTTGGGGAACATTTTTTTCTTGCACTTCGCCGCTCGACAAGCCAAGAATTTTGTAAACCGCTTCGCGAAAATCGACGTAAACCTCGCTTGGATTTCTTTCTCCGTTCACCTGCACAACCGATAATTAAGCAACATTTCTAATTCTGTTAGATTGAAAATTAGATTGCCCCCGAATTCATAAAAGTTACACGATCATTTCGTCGTTTGCTTACCTCTATTAACATTCCGCTTTGATCGAAATATTCCGCGACGGGCATAACGTTCCTATAAAAATTATAAAGTTCCATCCTTGCTAGTTCGATCACTACTTGTCCAAGTTGTGCTCCAAAATCGATTTGCCTTTCGAGAATCTCCTGCCTCCAGGACACGAGAATCACGCCATTCACGATTTTGATCTGCAAATATTTTTGCATTTCTCACAACCATTATATCTAAGTGACTATACTTTCTCTTTTCTTAATGCGATAGTCACAGTAAAATACTGTAGGAACTATTGTAAAAAATTTACAACGGCATTAACTATGATCATTCAATTGTGATTGCCAAACAAAATTGATTTCTCCTCTGCGAACGGGAATTTAGAAATATTGCGATGGGATTAATCGTAGAGAATGTTCTAATTTGGTGATTGATCTCTGTCCTTTATGTGCTTTCTGCATGTTTCAACTTTAGGTCAATGGGACAGGTCAGTAGGTCACAGAGAAGAAGTTACACAAATCTTACTTGAAATGTCGTATTTAGAAATTTGTCCCTTTCTGTCCCATTACGATGGAAATCTTAGAATCAAAATATATACTCGAGATACTTACTTTCTCAGCGTATTCTACTACGTCGCGCATATTACGTGGATAACCACTAACGAGAAAGACTTTGGAACCTGGAGACATCTTAATTTCGAGCATTAACACCTCCGCGACGGTTTTACTGCTAAGTTGCCCGAAAT